TGCGGCGACAAATCACGGACTGGTGAGATGGCGCCACTCCTCTACGAGTTTCCCGGGAATCCCGGATAGAAAAACGGGAACTGGGTTTTTCCCAGAGAGAATTCTGGGTATTGTTGCTTTTTCTTGTCGGGTGATCGCTGCCATGAGCACGTGTAGCTCTCTTTCAAGTGTACTCGAGGATTGTTAATGTTGTTAAATAAATGTTGTTGTAGTTAAAAACGTGGTCGTGGACTTAACTAATTCACGTTTACAGCCTTCTGATAAAGACAGTCTTGGTGGAGATGTAAATGGATGGAGAAAGACGGCCAGGTTTCGTCTAACCGATGGCGGCCATCCATTACCTCCACTATCATCCCTGCTTCTTCGATACTACAATTAGACCATACTATAACATCTCCTAATGATTTTTTTGTCTTATTAATTCTAATTATTAATTTAAATAATACTTTATTTATTATAACCTATAAATGGGAGGATGAAGGAAAAACGGGATTGATGCTATTAAAGTTTGGTGGTTAAAAATCGAGAGGGTGGAGATATAAAGGAATAAAGGAGGTCTTAAGTGTCTCCATTAGAGTCGGACTTAATGACGATTTTACTCGTTACTAGCATGACAATTTCGTATAAAACCCGTTTTTACCCTCAAAATTAAGCTTTTTGCCATTTTACTATAGTTAAAAATATAAAATGCTTTTAAATTAAATATCATAATGGATGAATGGAAGGCACCAGCAAAGCAGTTTTAAATGTTGTCAGGAAAGTTAAACTACTCGTTGCTGGAATTTTTTAACATCTTTTCCAGAAATTTGTAACTTTGTATCGTATGTTCTACGTCTATTTACTTTGCCCTGTGATTTGGAAAGTCCTGGGCTTAAGCCTTGTTATTTCTTATGTAGATCTGCCACTGTTAAGAGTCGATATCCCATGGAAACTCTTCCTGAGTGGCATACTTTTTAGCAGATCTGTTGGTCTACCAACGGAGTACTTCCTTTGGAAAACTGATCCATATTTACACGTTAGACACACGTATAAACCCTAAAATTCCACCCGAATAGCCTATTAGTTACGCGGGAACCCGCGAGAAACCACCAGTGTTCTGTTGTTTTGTCCTAAAGTACGTGCTCGAATTTTTCCCTATTATGTAGGGTGAAATTCGAGCATATACTGTAGGAAGCTAAGCCTATAAATATTCATCTTTTCAAATAAAATAGTACCGAAACGAAACGATTTTCCATTATTTTTGGAAATAACAGTAATATTGTAGTAGACCTAAGTCATTTAATTATAATTAAATAGCTTTTAAATATCTTTAACTTAAGATTTTTCATCCGTCATCCTTGTTTTTTGAAAACGAGAATAATAAACACAGAAGAAAAAATCGATGAAACACAATGAAATGCACGCCATTTAGTGGAAGACCGACACGGTTACACGTGGCCACACAAGAATTTAATATAATTTAAAACCACGTTAATTCTATTTGTAAAATATTTTTAACATTAAATTAAAATACATAACAATAAATAAATAATTTAAATATTCGAATACAAATTATTCACACGAAATGAATTTAAATGTGACTATGGGTATAATCAATATATGTAAAACTAATATTAATATTCAATTAAAAATTTTTAATACTGTTAAAATTAAAATTTTATTATTTTAAATTATAAATATTTGAAATTTTAAATAAATTAAATATATTAAAAAGTTTTTTCGAATAATATTTAAAACTTAATTAACAGCAGGAACTTCGTCGATCGATCAAGTGAGACAGTTCGTTTAATTGATTTTATTATTATTTCGAGTTTGTGCTGAAATGGGTATGATTATTTTATTAATTAATATTTTAAAATACTTATTTTTTCAGTTTTGTAAATTTAATTAAATTAGTTTTTACGGAAAATTAACCTACTGTTAGACCAAAAATGGCGGATGATATACACTTAAACAATACTTTTATTCAGTATTAAACTGAACCGTATCTTTTTAAAACTTAGTAATTTATTTTTTAATAAAGACTAATTTTAATTCTTAATATACTGGCTTGAAGGTTTAAGTATTGTGTTATTAATTCAACTTTCTTTCTGTTGCAGCTGCTGCTGCGTTAACCGAAACTCCTAAATACTGTGAAATTTGCGGAGATCCAGAAGTATCAAATTTTTACGGAGCATTCACGTGCATTTCTTGTACAGACTTCTTTAAAGAGAATATACTCCTCCGAAGAGAGGTAATCCCTTGTTCTTTCGGAAGCGGTAAATGTTCTCTAAATAAAAGGTATGGTGTCCCGTGTAAATTTTGTCGTTTAAGCAAGTGCTACGACGTCAAAATGGATTACGCAAAAGTCTTCAGTAAGTAAAACATTGATTTGTAAGTTACACTGATTTGAAAAAGTGCTAATGTGAAGTTCGTTTTAGGCCAATTGCCTAGTGATTATAAACGTGAAACATGTACCGAAGAAAAATATTATTTGGTAAGTCCGATATTTTTCAACATTAAAATTTTAGATGTAAATATACCAAATTGAAGACTTTACCATTGTAATTTAACTTTTTCACTAGCTGTTTTGTGATCAACAAGATTCATTCCTGGATTGTCTGATGTACATGGAGCAATACTTTTACAAATGGCTAAATTCTCTTCCAAGTTTCCGTAATTTAAGCGAGGAACGAAAGGTATGTGCAACATTTTTCTCTTCTTCCCTTAATTCTTCATCGAAGACTAAAATTTGTAAGAAAATTTTCGTACGCTTAATGAAACTACCGTAATTACCATTTTAATTATTGTATTATTAACTTTTTAACCATTTTTTTCCATAGAAAAGCCTAAGATTGAGGTCTTACGCGAAGGGTACAATCTTGCAATTAATAGAGAGATCGCTAAACGTTTACGAGATGCTTCGATTACACAATTCTTTTATTTGCTGTATGACGGACGTGGATATGATCTTTTTAAATTTAATAAGACTGATAAGCGATTCTCGAAGTAATTATTTCAAAATAGCGAAAAGATTGGAAGCCTCTGGTATGACACACATGGAAGCATTTTCGGCCTTGAAGCTGCAATTAGCACTACCACAAGGTACGTTATGCAATCGAGATTTATATATATAATTTACTTAAATACTATTATCTTTAGATGTACGTGTAGATGACAAAAATTTGAGACTCGGAAACGGTTTCCACGAGCAATTGCAAAAGATCGTTGATATGTTAATACAGTATATGGAGTCGAATTACGTACGCTTCAAAGGTAAAGAGAACTTTGTAGCGATCGAAAAATTAAAGTGAGTAACGTTTTTTTCCTTTGTATCTTGAGAAAAGAGGACTTTCTCATGTCACTTTTTTTCCTTCCAGCTTATTTGACTATTCTTCGGACATTCCCGAAGATAAATATCCACACAATGAAATTCGCCTTCTGTCTTATGATTGATTGAAACCATTGATTTCAACGATTAGTGTACTCCGTACTTATTTTAAGATTACGTAAGAAAGATGTTCATATTTTAACTGTACGAAAATAATTGAAAAATTGAAGGTTTTTTTTTGTTACAGGTGAAAGACTGCTGTATTGAAAAACTAAGATTTTTAACGGGTTTTAATACGATTTTATGTATATTTAGTCAATTGTTTTAAAAAGAATGACTTTAAGTCTTGTTTTTTAAATCGGAAATAAAGTTTTCTTCAGATATATTAAATATTAGTTTTGGTTAATTTTCTCGAACTACTCCTACGAAAGATTTTCAATTTTTTTTCAACATTTCGGTATCTTTTAATACGGATCTATCGACCTACATTAAATATTTTAAAATTTTGTACTGTCACACTTTAAAATTAATTTAAAGAAATTTGCACCGCGTACAAGAATAACATCTGTACGATCCTTTTGCGATCTTCGATTGGCGTGAAGGTGACACTCGAACGTGTTGCCAAAGGGCACCTCTCGCGAGCACTTAGCACGCGAAACTGGTTCCTACTTAGATGCAAAAATATCGAATTTCATGCGGCCAGGTCGTTTGGTTTCGCGTACCTGCGAGACTTTGTTTCGGTATATTGAGACACTCGAGTCACGTCAACCACCCTTTCATCTGTTGCCCTTTTGTTTGGGCCTTAAATTTTATTATCAATACACAAAATTCATAACTTGTAACCTATTCTGCAAATATAAGAGACTAATAAACGATATTTGCCCATTGTCCCAAGCGCTTTCGTTGTTGACCAAAACCTCATTCCTTGAAGGTTTTAACATTAGAAGATCGCTCCGTACTGAAGAATTCTATTTCGTTTTAAACGAGTTTTACTTTTATTTATTCGATAATCTCGAATTCGATTGACGTCCATTGTTAAAAAGTACTTATTGTAAGAATATTGTTAGGTATTAAACTGAACCGTATCTTTTTAAAACTTAGTAATTTATTATTTAATAAAGACTAATTTTAATCCTTAATACACTAGCTTGAAAGTTTAAGTATTCTGTTATTAATTCGACTTTCTTTCTTTCTGTTGCAGCTGCTGCTGTGTTAATCGAAACTCCTAAATACTGTGAAGTTTGCGGAGATCCAGAAGTATCAAATTTTTACGGAGCATTCACGTGCATTTCTTGTACAGACTTCTTTAAAGCAAATATCCTCCTCTGAAGAGAGGTAATCCCTTGTTTTTTCGGAAGCGGTAAATGTTCTCTAAATAAAAGGTATGGTGTCCCGTGTAAATTTTGTCGTTTAAGCAAGTGCTACGACGTCAAAATGGATTACGCAAAAGTCTTCAGTAAGTAAAACATTGATTTGTAAGTTACACTGATTTGAAAAAGTGCTAATGTGAAGTTCGTTTTAGGCCAATTGCCTAGTGATTATAAACGTGAAACATGTACCGAAGAAAAATATTATTTGGTAAGTCCGATATTTTTCAACATTAAAATTTTAGATGTAAATATACCAAATTGAAGACTTTACCATTGTAATTTAACTTTTTCACTAGCTGTTTTGTGATCAACAAGATTCATTCCTGGATTGTCTGATGTACATGGAGCAATACTTTTACAAATGGCTAAATTCTCTTCCAAGTTTCCGTAATTTAAGCGAGGAACGAAAGGTATGTGCAACATTTTTCTCTTCTTCCCTTAATTCTTCATCGAAGACTAAAATTTGTAAGAAAATTTTCGTACGCTTAATGAAACTACCGTAATTACCATTTTAATTATTGTATTATTAACTTTTTAACCATTTTTTTCCATAGAAAAGCCTAAGATTGAGGTCTTACGCGAAGGGTACAATCTTGCAATTAATAGAGAGATCGCTAAACGTTTACGAGATGCTTCGATTACACAATTCTTTTATTTGCTGTATGACGGACGTGGATATGATCTTTTTAAATTTAATAAGACTGATAAGCGATTCTCGAAGTAATTATTTCAAAATAGCGAAAAGATTGGAAGCCTCTGGTATGACACACATGGAAGCATTTTCGGCCTTGAAGCTGCAATTAGCACTACCACAAGGTACGTTATGCAATCGAGATTTATATATATAATTTACTTAAATACTATTATCTTTAGATGTACGTGTAGATGACAAAAATTTGAGACTCGGAAACGGTTTCCACGAGCAATTGCAAAAGATCGTTGATATGTTAATACAGTATATGGAGTCGAATTACGTACGCTTCAAAGGTAAAGAGAACTTTGTAGCGATCGAAAAATTAAAGTGAGTAACGTTTTTTTCCTTTGTATCTTGAGAAAAGAGGACTTTCTCATGTCACTTTTTTTCCTTCCAGCTTATTTGACTATTCTTCAGACATTCCCGAAGATAAATATCCACACAATGAAATTCGCCTTCTGTCTTATGATTGATTGAAACCATTGATTTCAACGATTAGTGTACTCTGTACTTATTTTAAGATTACGTAAGAAAGATGTTCATATTTTAACTGTACGAAAATAATTGAAAAATTGAAGGTTTTTTTTTTGTTACAGGTGAAAGACTGCTGTATTGAAAAACTAAGATTTTTAACGGATTTTAATACGATTTTATGTATATTTAGTCAATTGTTTTAAAAAGAATGACTTTAAGTCTTGTTTTTTAAATCGGAAATAAAGTTTTCTTCAGATATATTAAATATTAGTTTTGGTTAATTTTCTCGAACTACTCCTACGAAAGATTTTCAATTTTTTTTCAACATTTCGGTATCTTTTAATACGGATCTATCGACCTACATTAAATATTTTAAAATTTTGTACTGTCACACTTTAAAATTAATTTAAAGAAATTTGCACCGCGTACAAGAATAACATCTGTACGATCCTTTTGCGATCTTCGATTGGCGTGAAGGTGACACTCGAACGTGTTGCCAAAGGGCACCTCTCGCGAGCACTTAGCACGCGAAACTGGTTCCTACTTAGATGCAAAAATATCGAATTTCATGCGGCCAGGTCGTTTGGTTTCGCGTACCTGCGAGACTTTGTTTCGGTATATTGAGACACTCGAGTCACGTCAACCACCCTTTCATCTGTTGCCCTTTTGTTTGGGCCTTAAATTTTATTATCAATACACAAAATTCATAACTTGTAACCTATTCTGCAAATATAAGAGACTAATAAACGATATTTGCCCATTGTCCCAAGCGCTTTCGTTGTTGACCAAAACCTCATTCCTTGAAGGTTTTAACATTAGAAGATCGCTCCGTACTGAAGAATTCTATTTCGTTTTAAACGAGTTTTACTTTTATTTATTCGATAATCTCGAATTCGATTGACGTCCATTGTTAAAAAGTACTTATTGTAAGAATATTGTTAGTAATGGTTAAAAATCTTACTTATAAAGAAAGTAAGGAAATTTCTTACTTCGTTGGATCGTATACTTTGGTAAGTGTGTTTTATAACACGTTTGTGTTGTACACGACTTAATTCTGTACAAAATTCAGATGTATTCTGTAATCAGATTAGCTACTGGCAATTATAAAACGTTTGCAGGAGATTACATTAACCAGAATAAAATTGGTAAGTAATTGTTGTCTAAAGAGCATTGTAACAGCGTTAAAATAATAAATTATTTCTTCTATAGACTCTTCGTGTTATAATTTATATAAAATCATTAGTTGGATCGCGTGGTCTGGACTGCTGCTAGTGAGCTTCGTGCTGCTTATCGCAATTAGAAAGGTTGATTTTATTATACGTCAGTGTATCGAAATTATAAATCTTTTGATTAAATCTTTGTACTTTCAGAAGAAGCCTAGATTGATGCTGCCATGGTTAATGTGGATTCCAATTGTAACTATTGGAGTTCCTGCTTCGGAAATCTGTCTTCTAGTCGCCATTGTCAAAACATCTGTAAGTGAACTGATAAGGATTTCTAATAGCTAATCAGGCCTTAATAACTGATGAAAAGGACAATAAATTAAAAAACAAAGGAGGGCACGCAGTAAGGATATTACAGAAGTCGTAGTATTAGGGAATTTACAGAAGTATAGTATTAGCAAACAGTTAATGATTGGTAGGATTTTTCATGTAAAGGTACCATGGAGGAAAGTACAAATAAGTGTTGCAAGTACCTAGGCACTTCAGGTTAATTTAGATATAAGGAGCGAGAAGAAATGTTTTTGGCTAATTTAACGAGGTTATTAATATTTAAACGCAACAAAAAAATTATGTTTATCCTCTCATTTCTAATGCATACATAGATACTTATAGAGGAAGAAATGGCATTAGACTCCACTTTAAGTTTGCCGAAAGATGAAAAGGAATAGGAGAGTAATATATCCAGTAGTACGCAGGAAAAGTACAATATATGTATAAGAGTGTGGAGATAATTCTATCTAAAGCTTCCTGTGGATATCTATCAAGGTTCAGTTTTAAGTTTATCAGTTTTACTATTATTTTAGTTGGATAAACAGTTTGTACAGCCAAGGAAGAATCATGGTATTTAATATTCGCAGGTGATATAGTTAAGAAGAGAAACAATTAATAAAAGAGATATAAAATGTTTGAGACTGAAGAATTAACAAGGAATAAATTTTGACTTTAGAAATAAGGAGGAAAAGTGTAGGTTAGTTATGGAAGAAGGAAAATAATATTGGAGGAAAGTTAGACACGAATATAGCTAACAAAACAAGTATAGGGTGACAAAAGATTGCATGCGAGTGCTTTGTGATAAGAGTATTAGTTACATTAAAACATATAAACTTAATGAGTATTGTATGAATTTATGTTGGGTGATGAAAAAATCTTTGGTAAAACACTAGAGATAGCAAAAATGAAATGCTCACACCTGTGTTAATCAAACAAAATCATTAAAAAACAAAATCAATACAACAGTAGAAAGTATTGTTATAAATCTTTAATAATAATCAACTAATAACCAATACACTTCCCCCTTTTCATCATAGCTTTGTAGATACAGTCTGACATTGATTAAGTATGTTTTTGAAGGACTATTGTAGTTATTTTTTTCCAATGGATATTAACTGTATGTCTTAACTCATCTACACTGTTATATTGGTACCCATTAGCATATACAGCTCTAACTAAGATACTTTAGAGATTTTGCATTAAATTCTCATGTGGGCAATGAACTGGCCAATCAACAACTGGGATTCCATTACTTAAAAATCACCCATAAGTTGATTTAGCTGTGTGGAACTTGTTGTAAAAACCAACGATTTCCAGAAATTATATCAGCCCAAGGCAAAAGATAACTTTCTAGCATGTCTTGATAATGATTTGCATTCATTCGGCCACCGAGGAATGCAATATTTGTCTTACCAAACCAACTAAACCCACTCCATACCATCACTGACCCTCCTCCTTGATGCCGTTTTGAAAATATTTCTTCCTCACCTCTCAAATAATGCCAATAACGAGTCCCATCTGTTCCATCTGTTCCATCGAAATTAAAGTTTTTCTCTTCACTCCAGATCACGTTATGACCGGATCTACTGAAGGGAAAAGGGATCGTTAATGATGATACTAAGTTTAATTATCTTTTACATTTAGATGCTGATTATTCTGATGATGCTGACTTTTATATTAACTTGTATGAATGTAAGTGTAATTAATGTTATGTTTCAACATTAAACTTCATTTTTATAAAGAATAATTCTTCTTTACAGATATACTGTTTACTATATGTATATTATTACTATAAAAGTTATAAACACAAGAAACAGACAAGAAGACTGGAGGTTTCATCAAATAAACACCGCGAGGAAGAGAATTTAGAAGATGACAAAGAAAAAATTGCTTTAGAAGAAAATTTGAAGGATGATAAACAAGTCACAAAAGATAATGAATATTTATATTCTTCAGAGAATTTAGAAATATCAGACGAAGATTTGGACACGACATCAAATCACGAAGGAAACTTAAAATAGCATTGTATCGAGATAACACTACGTAACACCCCAAAAAGAAAGGAATTATTATATAAATCTGTAATTGTAATACTTTGGCATGTCATATTAAGAAGATTTATTGAAATTTTATATTGTAAATATATACGTTAACAAGAAATAATTCTAACTTTAACTGATTTTCTAGTTTAAAATGAAATAAAAGTGAAGAAAATCTTTGTTTAATGAATCATCATCATCAATGTTCATAACGGCGGATTTAGGGGGTGCTAGGGTGCAGTTCTACCTCCATTCCTGTGGGTATTTGAAATAGTCGCTTGAAGTTAGGGGTATTACGGTATATCTTAATACAGTATATATCTATGAAAGAAGAGTAGTTGTTTGTATATTCAACTATATGTATGTAACTTTGGGAATGGGTTACGGATGTGTAGTTTCTCAGTAAATCCTATAGAAGTATGAAGGCTCCCTGTGATAAAACAGATTGCTAATCATTTATTCTAGATTCCCTGTACTAGAAAATGAGGTGTTTTGGGGGGTAACGAGCCGTTTCCACGCAACCCATAAATTGCAAGATGGTAATATTTTTATTATAGAGATGAAAGAAATTGAAATATAATTGGGAAAAGTAAATTCACGGTTGACTTTTCACGGCCTTACTCTTCAATTATGCTGAATCAAGAGGAATCGATACCCGTCCGAGACAAAGTAATGAATGTGCATAAAACCCCAACGTAACACTGACTGGTCAAAGGCACCCAGTTTGACGTAGGTACTTCACTAGGAAACTCGGAGAAAGCCGAGAGACAAATATACCTGCCAAAGTTATAGACTATGTCCAGCTTCGGGAATGAAAGCTCTGTGCTCAACTCTCGCCTCGCCTTCTGATAGTGCTTGTAGAAGAGCTAAAAGTGCTGTACTGATTCCAGTGGCGGATTTAGCACTTGAGAGGCCACAGGCACGCCTGTTCGGAAATTCGCCACTGACATACATACGTATGTCTACGATGTGGGCACACTGGCGTTTCTACAACCGAGGAATCTTCACACTCTTTACATAGAGTATCATAAAAATTTTGTGAAATCTGTTGCTGCGAGCAGTAATTTTGTGATTTACATAATTTTAGTTTTAATGTTTTCATAATAAAACAGTTATGCGGGGATTTTGTCTATGATGTTACATATTATGTTTTGTGTATTATTATTTACGTAAGCGAATAATTTTCATCTAGAATAGAAGCACCCACAGAATTCCAGCTCGGGAGGAGTAGCATCTGTAATTGATGTTCATTCATCAGAAGCATCGATATTCTGTGAAAGATCCAAATGTTTTTCAAGAGCATCTGTACAGAGATATTCGAATAAAGTAATAGGATATCGAGGGCTTATCTGTACTATTAACTTCTGAATTATATGAAGAGGAATTTAACCCACCAGTAGCAGAGTGGATAAAACTAATGAACATTGGTAATTGGTGGCGGGTTCGCGTCTCTCTAACTGTAGACCATGTGGAATTTCCCGGATTTATTTTACCTGTATAGCGCTTAAATAGGGGCCAGTTTCCCATAGAAGTCCTTCTGGCAGATCGACCATATGTTGTATTGCTTTATCCCCTCAATCAAACAGGCTAAATAAGCACTACTAGGATAAATATTACTGGTTTGTGTCCACGAAAACAAGATATACTCGCTTTCTGTTAAATGCTTCTGCGTTTTCTTATACTATAGTAACAGCAGTTTACGTCAATCGCTTCATCGTGTCACGCGGAATCGTGTTAGGATGAGAGGACCACTTCCACGGAATTCTGTGTTGTGTAGCAACTTCTGAAAGTAGTTGAAGAAACTGCCCTTTTGAATCCAAGTAAAAACTCATGTTTTATCGATTTATCTAATTTGGGAATACTAAAAAAATACAAGAGAATAAAGCAACGAATGAGCAGCAAATGGTACCGCAGGGTACCATTTAGTGGAAGAGTGACACGTTTCCATGTAGCCATAAGAGAATTAATTATAATTTATAAAATAATCTTAATGTACTTTAAAATAAATTTAAATATTAATTTAGATACGCAGTAACAATAATTCCACGTAAATACAGCACATATATAATGGATACACTGTTTTAATGCAAATTTTACCGTATAAATCGTATTTAAATTTTTTAAAAATAGTACGTAATTTTAAATTTTACTATATATAAAATTACTTATTAACTTTTAGTATTTTAATTTGAAAAACTTTTGAATTTTAAATTAAATTAAATATACAAAAATTAAGACATTAAATTGTATTTAAAAGAATGACACAGCAGAAGACACTAGAACAACAGTATTTTAACCGAAGTTAATATCGTTAATTTTATTTCTTTATTACTTTTAATTAAGCTAAATGGGTATGTTCAATTTTTATATTACAATCAATGAATTAAAAAGAGATAATTTTTGTAAATTTTTAACAAAAACGAAGTTGTTAGCCCAAAATACGCTGCTAATAGTCACTTAAACAACACTTGTTGGCAAGAATAAGAATATTTTCCATATTTTAAATTAAATTTTGACTTTTTTTTTATTATTTCAGATAAGAGAAAAACAGAGACAAAAGAAAACCAAAACGGTAATAAATTAATTGTTTTTATTTATAAGCTTAGAAAGCATTGTAACTTTGCACAAAAGATAACAAATGGAAAACACTTTTGTGCCAACGATTCTGCACAAAAGGCAGCAATTTGCAAAGTGTTCCATTTCTATTCAATCAATACAAAGTCTGAATTCTTCTACAAATGCGCTTAGTGTTCCTCCTTGAGGGGATTCTGATCTTCAGTACTCATTCGTAGATTTACCNCGGAACCTGCAATATCTGGAATAATTGTGCTTACGCTGTCTTGAGTTTTAACCTCAGGTGTTGAATTCCACTTAACTCCTATAAGAGATACGTGTGAAGTTTGTGGAGATAACGACGAAGTATCGAATCGTTACGGAGCATTCACGTGCGATTCGTGTTCCAAATTTTTTAGAAAATGTATATTGGACGGAAGGAAAAACATTCATTGTATAACTAAAAGTGGAAAATGTCCGATCGATAAAAAGTGGGGTGTTACGACTTGTAGGTTTTGTCTCTTAAACAAATGCTATGACGTCGAAATGGATTTTAACCTTGTTAGGGTTAAACCGAAGTGTGTCCGTAAGTTAACGGGTGGATTTGGATTATCCGAAAGGCGAAGTAAATTATTAGAAAACTCTTCTACGGAAAGCACCGCCAAGTGTTTTCGGGAAATTGCTACTGAGGTATGTCAATTAAACTTATAATGTGGAAAACTACTAGGGAAATGAATTATGTCTACGTAGTGTTATTTTAATGCTTCGAATTTTACGAAGGATTGCCCAAAACTCAGTTAACTGAAGTGTTTTCTATGAGAGCACAAACACGTTTTTTTGCAACAAACTTTGTGTAAACGTTGGCATTTCCGAACGTAGCAATGTGCCATTTTAAGCAACTCTCAGCATTCCTCTGACTAAATTGCTTGTTTTATTCAGACACTACGTCGTGGTTAACTGATTTTAGGGCCTTTCTATACTATTAAATTCAAAATTTCCTATATAATTTCGTTTTAATTATAGTATTTGTTTGATCGAAAGAAAGCCTGTATCGAATGTCTGCAATACATGGAACAATATTATTACAAATGGTTAAACACTTTCCCACGTTTTCACAATTTAAGTAAAGACAAAAAGGTATGTACCGACCTCTGTATTATTTGTAATTTAAAAACAATTTATGTAAATTATATATTGTAAATCATTGAGCAGGAACTAGTAAGATCCAGATCATCAGTAAAGGGGGCAATCATGCAACTGATCGAACGATCTCTTTGCGTTTATCTAATGCTCAGACTACACAATTGTTTCCTATATACTACAACGACTTCTGATAAGTTATTAGCTATAATAAAAAGTACACGTGACTTTAGAGATGACGTATTGCATGCCTTAACAGAATCGGAAGCAACGAAGATAACCACACTAGAAGCATTTAACATTATGAAACTTCAGTTAACACTGAACGACGGTAGTTTCTGTAGTTGTAAAAGTACCATAATTTATGTAAAAGTGATTTTTTAACACTGCTTTTCTTCTATTTTCAGACGTATTGATACTGAAGAAAGATTTAGACTTTGCAAGCAACCTTCAATCTTCTTTTCAGACATTAATTAATACAGTGTCAGAATTGACAAATACCATCAGTTGTTTCAAAAACAGAGAGAATTTCGAAGCTATCGAATCTCTGAAGTAAGTTATTTTGCTCTTTTCTAACTGAAAAGAAGGATACATTCTCACGCCATAAATATTTTCCAGTTTATTTGATTATTCTTCAGACATTCCCGAAGGAAAGTATCCTTATAATCAAATTCGATTTCGTCCTCAACTATGAAGTCTGTTAATTTGCATACGTTGCAACTCGTGTAATGTTTATATGCAAATTATAGCACTGTAAGTAACATTACTTTATTTGTATGCAAAATGAACTGTTGAAGAATTTTAATTCTCTTTATTTTTTTTACAGTTGTTTGTATTTACTGAGCTGTATTGAAACCATGGCTGAAATCTTCGCTGATCTTACTTTCTAAAACAAGATTTTTTTGACAAAATATTAAAATATATTTCTAGAATTTCGGAACATTTTTTAAAATTAGAAAATTAAATATTTTTAATTCCTGAAACTGTAATTGTTCAGTTCTTTTATATCTTTAAAATAAACGATTTTTCATAAGATATTACATTGTTGTTCTTAAGTGTAAGTGTAACCTAATCAAGCATATTTTAGTTGAAATTTTTGTGCTTTCGTCAGTACAATTTTACAAATATGCACACTTGTAAACGTTCCAAAACAAAACCTCTCGGAGAACCACTTAAATTTGACATTCTGTTGGTCCATTATGTAATTATTAACTTTCCCGGCTTAACTGATTAATTACTGACCAATTAAGTTGCATTGATTACAATGAAACAATTACTACCATAAATTATAGTTAATATTAATAATATAAAGGTTCGTTTTAAAATGGTTCATTGCTCTGTGCCCATTTTGTACACGAAATAAACCGAAACATTGGCACCTCTATAAATTTTTGTATTATTTTGATAATTACTGTATATGCTATATTTAAAGAAGATTAAATAGATTAATTTTGGTAACACAAATTTTAATTGCTTTGTATGTTGTTATTGTCAGTAGTGTCAGTAGACTTCATCTAGCGATAGAGAATGATTTCCCCCATTTGACTATGCTGTTTAAACACACGGAACTAATAGCTGGAACATGTGACTGGTCGATATGCGAGAGAAAAAGATAATTATTGATTATAACCCCTGCAATATACCGTATACATCGTAGCTTTCCTTTAACAATGGAGTCGTGCCGGTTATCTAACACCTTTCGGGGAAAATTTGAATCGAAATAACGTAATTTCCAGTATGCATCGAGCATTTGTATATAATTAATCGGGGCCTTCTGCCCTTAAGGTGTTCGCATGTATTCTTCAATTTCGTGTATCTTACTCCTCGAGATTAAGGAAAGACAGACAGTGTTAGGTCTACAAGAAGTATAGGTCTATAGTAGGGTTTCTCAAACGGGATTCCGGGATCCCGGGATCCCGGTTGTTTTTTTAACCCGGGAAATATCCCGGGAAATCACGCAAATTTCTTAAAAATTCACTTTTTTTCTTATTTTGTGTTAAGGCTGGGGAATTTTGCAAATAGAAAGCATAATTAACTTATTCACTGTCAGAATACATTTGTATTTATTAATTTTAAACCTACCTATTAGTTTTTTTTAATTTTTGCTCGTTATAGCATGTCACAAATGGTCAATAATCAATATATAGCTTATTTGTGGCAGGACTATAAAAATTCTTTACTTGTCGGAACCTGTAATATCTGGAATAATTGTGCTTACGCTGTCTTGAGTTTTAACCATGCCCAGTAGCTTCAATAAATGCCTGACGCCAGATTGTGCAAATTGGGCAAGGATACAAACGAGTACAAAGTCTGCAAGTATGAAGTTTTTCTTCATAAACCTGATTATTAAAGCCAAATGAATTGCCGAATTATCGAGCTCTAAGCTTGATGCCGCTATTAAAGCAGCCAAGGTAGACAAATCAAGAATACTAGAGAGCGAAAGAAGTACTACAATCTCGAAAACGAACTCGAAATCTTCCAGGCTACAGGTGAAAAAACACATAATATCTGTCTTCTCTTAAATGCATTAAACACTATTCCAATCACATCAATTGAATCGGAAAGGGCATTCTCGGTGGCAAGACTTTTCATTACTAAAATAAGAATTAGAGTGAGTTATCGGAGTATTGACCATCTTTGCTTTTTAAAATCTTATAAAAGTTTGCAATATTTTGTATTATATTTTATTTAAAAAACGAAAATTACCTTCTAAATTAGAAGTTCATTTTTTTAATTTTTAACTCAATTCAAAACATTTTTTTTGTTGTTGTTGTATGCAGTTTCCAGCAAACTTTAATTAATTTTTTTCTATTTGTGAAAATTTCTACGTTATTTAAAGGTAATTTTTATTATAGGCCTATAGACCTAACACAGCATTATTAATATGATTTTGGAGGTTACAAAACTTTAAAATTACTTTAAAAAATGGAAAATAATTATATCATTTGATTTCAAGATATTTTGTATACCTTAAAAATAATTAATTCTATCCCGGGATTTCCCGGGATCCCGGGAAACAGTTCACTTTTATCCCGGGATTCCGGGACAAGCAAAAGACCGGGAAATGAGAAACCCTAGTCTATAGAATTTATAGGTTTTTTTTGTTTTAAATTGCAGACCAATAAATGTTTTTAATTCTTAAATTTTTTAATTGTCAAGTAAAAAAGTAAGAACGAAATGCAATGAGCGAATAGTATGGCAATACTGCTTTAATACTTTTAGATTATCAAACGGACTTCGCCATTGGTTTAATACAACTCTGTAAGCAAAGTCTCCAGATATCAATTTAAAATATAATAACGTGTTGACGTATAATTAAAATTTTATTGCTGAAAAAATTAAATTTATATTATTATAATTGTCAACAATGTCGTCATTTTATGCAAAAACTTTAAATATTAAATTCAATTTATACGAGCCGCAGCATCGGGTGTTGAAAACGGCAGCACTTTAACTGAAGTCGAAATCACTCAGGTATTGTGTTTATTACGTTTTAAATTATATTAAATAGGTATGTTTACTTTCTTATATTATAAAAAAATGTGAGTATTTAATTCAGTCATTTATAATTAAAGTACAGTTTGCCAGAAAATGACCGAAGATTCTCACTTAAACAACACTTCTTTAATGGATGAAAGGTGGGACTTTGAAAGTGAAGACAGTGACGATGGTAATAAGTTAATTATAATTTAACTATAACGATGTTTACATAATTAAATTTTTGTTTAACTTTATTTCTTCATACTTTGGAGAACGTAAATCAAGTTTTATACACAATTATAGTTGCATACATCGTACGCTTTTATTTTGTTTTATATCTGAGAGTTCGTTTGCTGGATGGTCTTCTCTCATAACAAATAGCAGATAAGACTTGTATAAATAGTAATTATCCATACACCTATTCGATTCTCATTATAGACTACGTGTAGCCCTGTATAGTTACATTACTGTAGTACATTTAGTATATGGCTATTAACGTGATTTGTTATCGATGTTATGAAACATTAACTAGTTAAAACTGCCGAATACCAGACACGAGGGGAAAGATTCCCCTTACCTCGCGGTGTTCGTGCGTCTAACGTCTAAGTAGGATTAATTTTGCATAAAAGTCCAACTGGGACTTTCTATGACGATATGCCGATGTGGAGTGCCCTTTGCAGATCGTCCATATAACAGAGACTGGACTGATTAATTAATATCGATAGTTTTTTCTATCAATTGAAGTTACATGTCTGAAACTAAGGGCCCATGCTTACGAGATAATAAGTAATTTCTTTTTCAGATGTTGTTGTGACTATAGCTCCTCGAAGAAACGAATGTGCAGTTTGTGGAGATCGTGCAGTATCAAATCATTACGGAGCTTACATCTGCGTTTCTTGTGCGGAGTTTTTTGAGAGACACGTAAGACTAGAAAAAGAAATAATTAGTTGCGCAACTGGGGGTGGAAACTGTTCGACAAACAGAACGGTAAATATTAACACGTGCTACTTCTGCCGCTTCAACAAGTGTCACGACGTCAATCTCATGTACGAACTAATCACAAGTAAGTTGTCTTAAATTAAATAAAGAAAAAAAACAATTTCGGAAAAGTCATAATACGAAACAATTTATTAGGTTCGCCATACTTTGTATTACCGTCACATCGAATACAAGACGAACAGGTAAGTAAAGTACAATTATTATGGAATTTGAAAATTTGTTTAAATAGTACAAGATACTACTACAAAAAAAAATGTTAACACTGATACGAACGTAACACGTGCCGGATTTGTGATGGTAGGTTGTCCGTTGATTAGTCCTTTATCGTGTACAAGAAGTCACGACCCAATTGTGGAAGTCTCAAAAGGTACTGCGACGAATGCATATTTTCATACAGGTGTTAACTTTTTAAAGCACTCGCTGTATAAGGAAGTACCAAAATTTTAATACTCGAGGTGACAGTGTCGAGTTTAAACATTTTAAGAATTATTCGGATCGTAAGGTTAATTTTGTAAATTGTAGTTAATTCGTAAAGTTTAGAACGATATACGAGTTTTTTCTTTCAACTTATTTTTTAAAACACCTGATAGTTCGCTAACCCGTATTTTTATAAAAGTTCTCGTGAGGCACCCCCTTGGCAAATTGCTTAAGTGTTACGTTGTCTTTACAGTTTTAAACATTTGGTGTGGTTTTTTCTTTTTGTAGTAAATACTGCTTGCAAAATGGTTAACTGACTTTTGGACAAGTATATGTTTAAATTAACACTTTTATTTTTTATAATATATTTTTTTCATAAAGATCTTTCTACAGAAAAATTAAAATTAATTTTAAAATTCTAGGTCTTTTATAACTATGCCAGAACATTTACTAAATGTTTGAAATATATGGAACAATACTACTACAAGTGGTTAAATTCTTTTCCATCTTTTCGCCGGTTAAGTGAAGAAAGAAAGGTAAATAGTGTTTTCATTCCTAGCATTACTTACCATGAACAAAGGTGTATGTTAATGGTTTTTCCAATGAAAAAAATTCATGGGCACATTTAGTTAATTTTCTTTCTTCTCCTGTATCACTTAATTTCGTGATTTAGTATTTTTTAGTTAAACACTTAAATCAGTGCGACTGAACTGATTTGAGTGTTCAACAAACTAATGAGCAGAAGTAATAAAATATATAGCAAGAATATAAAGTATTATCTAAAGTAGAAGCAGCAAAAGTTTGCTTCATAATTCTTTGAATAGAGTTTTCTGCATAAGGGACCATTCAAGTATTACGACAGCAGTTATGGGGAGGGTAGAATTTGATTGTGTTTGAGGCTTATGATGCACGATTGCAGCCATGATGTAATTATTTTTCTTTTCGGTCATCACAAAAGTACGTGGAAAAAACAAGTGAATACGTAAGAAATAAACGTTTGGTGACAAAATTAGAGGTAGTAGTACCTTTTCTGGATTTTTTTTCTGATTTTAACATTAATCTTTACTTTTTTGTAGAAAGAAATAAGGTTGAATACACACGAAAGAGGAGCTGTCATGCAACTAGTAGAGAGATCTCTTAACGTTCATCAAATGCTTAGATTGCACAATTGTTTTCTTTATATTGGTTTGCAATCACTTTCAAATTTTATACTTATAATAAAGGACATACAGGAGCTAAGAGATCACGTATACTATATAATATATTATCCAAATCATTTAAGTATAGAGGAAACGTGTAACGTTTTAAAACTTGATCTGATACTGCAAAATGGTATTATTTCGTTTTAAATTCACGCTAATTTGTTTTAGATGGACGTATATAATGTGTGATTTATGTTTTAGATGTGTCGATTACTGATACAGATTTGCTGCAAAATAACCATCATGGATTCCTAGAATCAGTTGATGGATTGCTAGAATCCATTATACAAGGATTACAGCAGTTCATGACAGACATGCACGAAGAATTCGAAACTGACGAAAATTTTGAACAGATTGAATCATTAAGGTGAGGAATTCTTTTTTTCTGATTTCTCTCAAAGCTGACTTGTTAATGCTATAAATCTCATGATTTTTTTTAGTTTATTTGACGACTACCCAGACATTCCCGAACATGATTATCCTTACGATCAAATTCAATTTCTGCCTTGAACTGTGAGGTGTTAAATCTCGTAATAACATAAAATACAATGGACAATACGAATTTCAATACGTAGGTAAGTAAGATTTTAGTAAGTTATATGCAGAATAAAATTTATTCGAAAATTAAACTTGTATTGTTTTTACAGTGTAATGGATGCTCTGCATTGAAATCCTGGTGTAAACTGACTTTTGTTTTTAAACAGACATTTTATCACAATTTTAAATGTAAAGTTGTATTTAACTATTTTTATTGGAGCAAATAAATATTTCTATTGTCTGAAAAACTTGACTTGTTGGACTCTGAAAAGCATTTGTATACGACGATTCTTACGATACAATTAAATCTGTACCCACCTGGATGAGGCTAATGAACACTGGTAGTTGATTCGTATCTCACCAATAAGCTGGCTACGCGAAGTTTTTCGGTATTTCTGTACATTACACTTACGTAGAATGACAGTTTTTCATTGAAAGTTGTCCAGGTATGCCATTTGATAGACCACGTGTTCCGTTTCCGTATTATTTTTCTAATAAACAACGCAGGTTAGAATCAGCTACAAAGTAGGCCCCCTTAATTCTCAATTTCCTATTAAATTAGCTCACCAGAATGGATAAAACAACTGAACTGTAATAGTTGGTCTTACCAAAATTAAATGGCAAACAGCTTAATTTTGAAGGTGTGGATGGGTTTTATAAAAAGTTGTAAATGCGTGACAGTTGTACTTGCTAGCATTTTTAAGTCCGACCTTACTACAGATACACACGACCCCATTTGTTTTCCTACCCTCGACCTTCTAATCACAAAGTTTAATAGCTTCAATTCCCTAATAAATAAACCTTCCTGCAAAATTTGGAAATGTTTTCGACAAAAAGCACAGGAATTAAGCTTCAAACAGCGTGAATAAAAACGTACCACTCACACGCACTAACATCTATCCTTACACACAGGTTAGTTGGTTGGAGCTTTTTGGCGCAATAGCCATATAGTCTAAGTTGTATATACCAGGGGTGGCCAACTTTTGTGTACATAAGATCAACTTTTTATCTTAAAAATGTGTCGCGCTCGACTCGTTGTCGTAGGCATAGTCCAAGTCAGGGATGGGCATTCCGCGGCCCGAGTCGCATAAAATATGTATAAATATAATAATTTCGTAGCTTAAGAAGTATGCAACAAAAATTTATATATACCTATTCTATTTTATAATTATATATGAATAAATAATTGTGATTTACCGGCATTTTCCCCCTCTTTTATCTTGTATGTGGCCGGCGTTAGTTCAAAAGTTTTGAAGTGCGGTCTTTACACAGAAAAAGGTTGCCCATCCCTGGTCTGAAAAAGGAGGGAGGGGTGAAATAAATACTAAGTTTAGATAGAAAAAAAAATCACAATTTAATTTAAAACACGAAGAAAAGGTATTTACATTTTAAACAGAAGAAAAATTGAAACTCAACGTTGTCACTTTCGGGGACCACCACTTCACTCTTCTTCTCTCTACCGTGTTCCGACCTACTCTCTCTGTCCTTTCTTTTTTTCGGTATTACGACCCTTTGTCTACATTACTTATTTCCCTTTTACAACAGTACGCAAAAGGATTGCACATGGACCGACAAAACCGCATCTGAGGAAGAACGAGGAGGTCCGATATCACTACAGTTGCGTTTGCGCGTTACGTTCATGTGTTGCATTCTGTTACAACTTACAAGTGTAACACATTAAGTCGAGACATCGCGAGCGATCGACCAAAATTGGTTTTGAGATCGACCGGAAGATCGCGATCGACTTGTTGGCCACCCCTGGTATATACCATATCAAGAGTTAAAGGTTCTTCTCAGAGGTTCTGTTAATGCACCAACAAAATTTCAAATTTATGTAATTATTATCTTAGTTTTCCGGCTGTTGTAACGTAACACGGCTTACATTTCCCGCTGTTATCATATCATAGTGTTACCGTGTCACATTTGACAATGTGGATTTAGGAATCGCTGTTTTTTACACCTCTGAACTGATAAAGCTGCCTGGAATGTGTCTGTGTGGTTTTAGTTGAATATATCGGAATGGGTTAAGTATTAAATACGAAATTTTTGTACAGTAACTTATGTATAAGGGGCATCGATTCTATTAAATTTTAGTTAATGGTCGAGGGGATAGGGAAAAAATAAGACACAAAAAATCAATAGTTGTAGCTCGTGATAGCAGTTACGCGAGCGATTTAGGGGTGCTCGGGGTGCAGCTGCAAATCCCCCTTTTGAGAGTTCGGGTAACTTCCGCACTCGAATAAAGTCAAGTACTTCAGTTAGTAAAAAGTTTCTTAAGACACAAGGTGTGTATCCTATAGGAATCCATTGTAAAATGTTCTGGATTCGCTGGTCGTTTGCTAGCAACATTAACAGGGTAGATACCCCATTAATTATTATTACATTTAACCATGTAGATGTTTAATGATAATACGTCTATTGTTTTAAACTGTTCTGCGGAAATGTGGGCAAAATCTTAATTAAAAAAATTAATAATACGCTATATACTAGGTTTGAATTACTGTTTTGTTTTACGAGCATATGACAGCATGTAGTTAGGATCAACTGTGTGTTATGGTCAGTAGTGTAACTTCATCTAGCGCGAGAACATATTTTTCTTTGGCCATAACTCTTTTACGGGGTTTCACTAGGCTGTTTGAACACACGTAACTAACAGCTAGAATATGTGACTGGTCTGTATGCAAGAGCAAACGAATAATTTATTGGTTATCACCTGTACAATATACAAAAGAATATATCTATTATGCTTTTGTAATGGCCAGATTTTCTTCCCTACATCAATGTTTTTCTTCAAATATTATAGCACTTTTTTCACTGAAGGTAGTGAACATTGTCATTACCATTTGCTTAAGGAAAGACATGTATGAACGACAGTGAGAATTTATAAGTTTTTTTCAAATTGCAGACCAATAAATGTTCTTAAGTCTTAAATTGTCAAGTAAAAAACTAAGAACGAAATGCAATGAGCACATTGTATGTCTCTTCTTGTCTCTTGTCTGGTCATAGGGTTCATCTGGAGGTTGCAGGCTATGTTCTCCGATTTCCCGCCTCCTAATGGTTAATTCAAGCGACCCGTGTGTCTGATGTATTGTTCCAAGGCACCCACACGCTGATCGGTCGATGTCATTGATGATGGTCAGTAGATCGGGGTTAATGAGCGAGTCAGACCGGTGTTTAGGGACAGAGTCATACGAAGGGTGCGACGGGTCCGTCGACTCAGAAGTGTTGTGTTGTTTCCTCTTTGTCGCAGTTAGGACATACTGGTGAGTCCGCAAGGCGCCGAAGATGCAGGAACGCTGACATTGCATTTCAATACTGTTTTAATACTTTTTGATCAGCATACCAATGACATATTCCGTTTCACATCAAAGGGACTACGCCATTGGTTTAATACATCTCTGTAAGCAGTCTTCAAATATCAACTTAAGATATTATAACGTGTTTGCATATAATTAAAATTTTACTGCTGAAAATATTAAATTTATATAATTTTAATTGTCAATAATGTCGTCATTTTATACAAAAAATTTAAATATTAATTTCAATTTATACGAGCCGCAGCATCGGGTGTTGAAAACGACAGTACTTTAACTGAAGTCGGAAATCACTCAGGTATTGTGTTTATTACCTTTTAAATTATATTAAATAGGTATGCTTACTTTCTTATATTATAAAAGAAAACATAAGTATTTAATTCAGTTATTTATAATTAAACTAAAGTTTTCCAGAAAATGATGGGAGATTCTCACTTAAACAACACTCGTTTAATGAATGGAAGTTTGGAAAGTGAAGGCAATCAGGATGGTAATAAGTTAATTATAATTTAACCATAACAATGTTTACATAATTAAGTTTTAGTTTAACTTTATTTCTTCATACTTCGGAGAATGTAAATCAAGTTTTATACACAATTATCGTAGCATATTAGCTCTCGCTTTTGTTTTATATCTGAGAATTTGTTTGCTGGATGGTCTTTAATTTTCTATCATAACAAATAGCAGATAAGACTTGGATAAATAGTAATTATCCATACAGCTATTCGATTCTCATTGTAGACTACGCGTAGCTCAATATAGTTTTATTACTGTAGTAAATTTAGTATATGGCTAGCAACGTGATTTGTTATCGATGTTACGTAACATTAACTAGTTGAAACTTCTGAATACCAGACACGAGGAGAAAGATTCCCCTTTCCTCGCGGTGTTCGTGCGTCTAACGTCTAAGTAGGATCGAGTTTACATAGAAGTCCAACTGGGAGGACTTTCTTTGGCGATATATCAATGGGTGTACTTTGCAGATCGTCCATATAATATAGACTGGATTGATTAATATCGGTAGTTTTCTCTATCTATTGAAGTCACATGTCTGGAACAAAGGGCCTATGCTTCCGAGATTATAAGTAATTTCTTTTTCAGATGCTTCTGTACCTCTTCCAACACATCAATGTGAAGTTTGTGGAAACCGTGCAGTATCAAATCATTACGGAGCGTACGCCTGCATTTCTTGTGCGGTGTTTTTTGACAGCCACGTAAGACTAGAAAAAGAAATAATTACTTGCGTAACTGTGCGTGGAAACTGTTCTACAATCAGAAGGAGAAATATTATCACATGCGACTTCTGCCGCTTCAGCAAGTGTCACGACGCCAATCTGAGGCACGAAATAATCACAAGTAAGTTGCGCTATTGTCTTAAATTACAAAAATACAATGTTATATTAAACATAACACGAAACAATTTACTAGGTTCTCCACGCTTTGTATTACCGTCACCTAAAATAGAAGACGAACGGGTAAGTGACGATCAATCATTATGGAATTTGAAAATTTGTTTTGATAGTACAAGATACTAGTTCAAAAAATGTTAAATACAACTTTACATTTAAAATTGTGATAAAATGTCTGTTTAAAAACAAAAGTCAGTTTACACCAGGATTTGAATGCGGGCCATCCATTACACTGTAAAAACAATACAAGTTTAATTTTCGAATATATTTTATTCTGTATATACTAAAATCTTACTTACCTTCGTATTACCTCCAGACACATTCCAGGCATCTTTATACAATACATCTTTCATAAAATACAATGGAAATTCGTATTGTCCATTGTATTTTATGTTATTACGAGATTTAACACCTCACAGTTCAAGGCAGAAATTGAATTTGATTGTATGGATAATTATCTTCCGGAATGTCTGAAGAGTAGTCAAATAACCTGAAAAATTTATGAGATTTATAGCATTAACAAGTCAGCTTTGTGAAAATCAGAAAAGAATTTCTCACCTTAATGATTCAATCTGTTCAAAATTTTCGTCAGTTTCGAAGTCTTCCTGTACCTCTGTCATGAACTCCGTTAACATTTCAATAACGTTTTGTAGGAAATCATGAAGGTCAGCTGCCTGCAAATCTTTATCACTAATCAACACACCTAAAAACATAGAAAAATCACACATTATATACGTCATCTAAAGGAAATTAGCATTAATTAAAACGAAGTAATAACATCTTGCAGTATCAGATCGAGTTTTAAAATGTTATACGCTTCCACTGTAGTTAAATTTCTTGGAAGAAAATGGGTTATTATTTCGTTTACGTAATCTCTTAGGTCCTGTATGTCCTTCATTATAATCATAAAATCTGAAAGTGATTGCCAACCAATACAGATAAAACAATTGTGCAATCTAAGCATTTCAAATACGTTAAGAGATTTCTCTACAAGTTGCATGACAGCTCCTCTTTCGTGTGTCTTCCACCTTATGTCTTTCTACAAAGAAGTAAATATTAATGTTAAAATCAGAAGAAAAAACAATCCAGAAAAGTACTACCACCTCTAATTATGTCACCAAACGTTTATTTCTTACGTACTTACTTGTTTTTTCCACATTATTTTTCTTCGTGGTCATGACGAAACTATTACATCATGGGTGCAATCATGCATTATAAGCTTCACACACATCAAATTCTACCTTCCCCATAACTACTGTCGTAATACTTGAATGGTAACATATGCAGAAAATTGTATTCAAAGAATTATGAAGCAAACTTTTATTGCATTTACTTTGGATAATAAAAAATATAGC